CAAATAAACTAGCCAAGACACCAAAGCAACTAACAAATAAACTACAAGTTCTCCACTGCAACAGCCTAGAGAACAAGAAAATCAAAGACCAGAACTACTACAAAGAGATAGAAACAAATCAAACCAACAAACCCAAAATAAAACCTAAACATCAAGAACCCTGGAGCAAGGAAAACTCTAGCCACTGCTTGTGAGCAGTCTTGACCAGTTGCTGAGCTGAGAGGATGGTGTTTTGGAACAGCCAAAGATTGCGAGCCTTCCAAAGCCACCATAGCATATAGGTGGTTAATTGGATCCTGGATTCAGCCACCTCAGTTTTAGGCAATGAGCATAATTGGGACCACCACCCTCTGAAGGAAGAAGAGAAAGGCTGCAGACCATCCCAATTCACCGGGGCTAAATTCCAGACCAAGCAAGCTTTAGAGCAGGAAAACAGAACATGTTCAATGCTTTCTATCTCATTACCACAAGTTTTGCAAATAGCATCAAGTCTCAAACCTTTCTTAAGCAAGTTAAGTTTCACAGGTAAAGAGCCAGTTATACACTTCCAGATAAAATGCCTTATCTTACCCTCTACTTTCAGTTTCCAACACCTGTTAAAGAAATGACTTTGGTTCTTAGAGAGGGAGCTGCAACCAGGGATATCAAGAGCCAGAAGTTTTTGCTTATTCAGAAAAGCATAGGTACTTGCAACAGTGAATCTGCCATTTTTATTCAAAGACCAGAGCATTCTATCATCCATACCTGGTTTAAGAGTATTGATATTCAGAATAGCTTGGCAGTCAGTATCATTGAACAACTGAGAAACTAACCATTGATTCCAACCATTCCCATCAGAGTTGAGAAGCTCACTAACCCAAACAATATGTCCTCTAGCAAGATCAAGAAGGAAAGGCTTAGGAGTTCTGAGGGAGGGCACCCAGTTTATATCATCAATTCTGGTAGAAGACCCATTTCTGATTTCCACAGAAAACCCTTTGGCAAAAACAGGAACAACAGAGAGC